GCGGGGGAGAGATGGGGGGGTCACGAAGGGGGGGAGGGAAACAAAGGGAGTCTTGGTGCGCGATCCAACAGTCGGCAGTAAGCTAGAGAATAAGTGTTTTTAAGGAGTGTTAAAGGGCGTTAAAGAGTCAGTAATCGGGCATCAATAGACGGCGGGAGGAAGTGTTTCACCCAGGTTTCCCATATCTTCTCGAAGACCTGTCATCTTTAAGGGTATAGGCTCAATATTCAATGTACAGCTGAAAAAAACCTGACTGCTGTCATATCTACACTCTTGCTTTTAATATCTTGAGTCACCAACCCAGAACAGGTGTTTCTGACTTTACTCTGATCTGCATACCTTTAAGTGAAGGTAGTGGCAACTAGCATATTGAAGAGGAGGTCAGCAAGGGAAGCATCCATATTTCTGTTTTGGTATCTCACATTTTGGTTGTGCTATAGTTGATTTGTTCATTAAAGTGGAGTTTGTTAATATACCTATTTAAAATATACTTACTTTGCACTTGGCTCTCGTACAGTAAAGGGTGACGTCACAATCATTCCTTTGAGATCCAAAGCTCTCAAGATGATGCTCCAGCACAGTGCAGAAACATCTTCTAATGAGATTTGGGATCCTAATCATTCCCAGGTTTTCTCTAGAGGATGGTGACATCACCCTCATCTAGGCCCCTGGAAAGAAGCCCTGGGTAAGGCAAGTATATTTTCTAACTTTTTTCCCACAAATGCTTTTTCTACTGTCATCTCACAGTAATTTGATATGAGGGAGTCCTCATGGAATGAGTGGACCTTGCCTTTTAGTGCAAGTGATAATGATAAGAGCACCTGCATCATAGCATTAAAGATAATGCTGTAAAGGGTTAGGAGAGGCAGATAAAGTACGTGATTGTTTTGCAGGTATAAAACATAAATAACATTGTAATGTAATTAACAATGAAAGCAAGAAAGACAATTGTTAACATAATCACAAAATTAGTTTGATCCAATTCTTTAGAGTTTGGTCAGAGTTTGTCATTTAGAAGAAAAGTCAAATTAGTTACAATAAACTTTATGGTACAAAACCTGTAAAAATGTGTAACACAGCCCTCCAACATTGGTGTCAGTGGAATAAAATAAGCTTCATTGTTGGTGCCAGTGGGCCAAAAGAAAAAAAGCCCCATCATTTGTCAGTGAGAGTAATATAAGCTGCATATGGTTGGTGAAATAAGCCCAGTATCATTGACGTCAGTAGGATATAATAAGCCACATCACTGATGTCAGGGGGATATAATAAGCCCCAACAGTGATGGGAGTAAAATAAGCCCCATAATGTTGGTGTCGGTGGGATATAATAAGTCACATTACTGATGTCAGGGGGATAAAATAGGCCACATCCCTGATGGTAGAGATATAATCCCCATATAGTTGGTGTTAGTGGTAGTAAAAAGACACATGTTATTGATGTCAGTGGGAGTAAAAAAAATCCAGACTGATGGATTCGTCAATTACGTCTCTCTGTTGAAAACCCCAACGAACACAGGGACTGCGCGGCATGGATTTAAATGGCCACAGCAGCCCTTTATTAACCATACCAAAATTGAACAGTTACCAAACGTAATAACCCAAATAAACAAATAATCTGATTGACTTTTGGATCCGAGGAAAGGGGCTTTGGGTGCCCATCAGCCAAAATAAGGCTTCTACTAAAACCGCTTCCATGTCCCCAAGCTTATCCCCACCAGCTCGAGGACAGTTACTGCTTCCCGAATTACAAGGGGCCGAGACCCCAACACCTTCCAACACCAACAGGGGGGAGCACCATACCAGCTGATGGCGCCCCATTTTGTAACAGACTTACATTTCTAGACACCCAAAGACCCCCTAACCCGCCAAGCTGCCATGACAAACAACCATTGCAACTGCCGCCAACTGCAAGAAAATTGCATCCTCCGTCGACCTAATGGAAAAAAAGCCCATCAGCCCTTGCAGTCCCATCCCATGTGGCTTCTCCCACGACACCTCAACTCAACTGATTCCCATTTTATTTAACCTCTTCTCCAGGGACTATTCCTTCCCCCAGTCATGCAGCCCCTCCGCTCATTATCTCCGAGCTCTGCCTGCATATCATTGATGTCAGTGGGAGTAAAATAAGTGCCATATTGTTGTTGTTAGTGGGATATAATAGACCACATCACTGGTGTCAGGTGGATAAAAAAGGCCACATCACTGATGGGAGAAAAATAATCCCCATATAGATAGTGTTAGTGGGAATAAAAAAAAAAACTATATATCATTGCTGTCAGTGGTAGTAAAAAAAAGCCACATATCCTCGGTGACAGTGGGAAAAGAATAAATCCCATATCATTGGTGACAGTGGGATAAAGTAAACCCCATCATGGTGACAGTGAGAGGACGTTAAGACCCATTATGGTGACAGTGGGGTAAAATAGGCCCATCATGATGACGATAGGATCAAATAAGATCCATATCTTTGGTGCCAGTGGCAGCAAAATTAACTCAATCATTACTGTCAGTAGGAGTACAATATATCTCAAATCATTAGTGTTAGTAGGAGGACAATACATCTCAAATCATTGGTGTTAGTAGGAGGACAATAAATCTCAAATCATTGGTGCTAGTAGGAGGACAATAAATCTCAGATCATTGGTGCTAGTAGGAGGACAATAAATCTCAGATCTTTGGTGCTAGTAGGAGGACAATAAATCTCAGATCATTGGTGTTAGTAGGAGGACAATAAATCTCAAATCATTGGTGTTAGCAGGAGTACAATAAATCTCAAATATTTGCTGTCAGTAGGACTACAATAAATCTCAAATCTTTGGTGTCAGCAGGAGTACAATAAATCTCTAATATTTGGTGTCAGTAGGAGGACAATAAATCTCAAATCTTTGGTGTCAGTAAGAGTACAATAAATCTCAAATCGTTGGTGTTAGTAGAAGGAAAATAAATCTAAAATCTTTGGTGTTAGTAGGACTACAATAAATCTCAATCATTGGTGATAGTGGGAACAAAGTTAAGAATTCTTTTTCTGCAGTTCCTTACCTAAACACTTGCTCCTGTGCTGCTGCTTAGCCTCTGTTAACCTGAACTATGCTGCGACTATCGGGCAGGAAATCACTTCACCCGACAGTAAGTGCTGGCATCAATGCAATGCCGGGTGTTGAACATTCCAACTGCGACACCTCGCTGCTCAATCCTAAATCTTGTGAGGCAGCCCATGAAAAAAGGACACTGTGGGACAGTGCTCAAATCCCTGAACTGTCATGCACAATTAAGGACACTTGGCAAGTGTACTTTCCTAGAACTCAAAAGGAACCTTTGGCAGTCATAGTTGTTCAAGAAAGCGAAGATCAACAGCACAGACACTGGGATAGGTGTAGTAACTCTTTTTTTTACAAGCAGCAATGTGTTTTAGGTAGCAACAGAGTTGCTTTAAACAGTAACATACTAGTTATGGGAAGTCTGACCCTTTACTATGACTCTTCCAAAATGTCCTAAAAACCTCATAATTAAAGCAAGCCATGCCTACATACCCTCCTCATGTATACTATATTATTTTTGCTTACGTGAGTATGCTTGCTGCCTTTTAACACAAGCTACTGAATGACTGAGGCCTTGTTCACACCAAATGCAGAGAAAATCTGCTCGCGTTTCTGCACATGCACACTAGTCTTTAGACACGTTTTTGACGCGTTTACATGCGTTTTTGATGCTATCCAGAGCAGGTAAAATAGGGCTTGCTGCAGTTTTTTTTACCTGCTCTGGAACAGAACCCTGCAATGTGAACTGGAGCTAAAAATACCATTGGAATACATTGGACGCAGTTTTTATCCAGTCTGTAACTGCTCTGCTCTGCACCAGCTCCGCGCTTGGTGTGAACAAGCCCTGAATGTATGCTGATACAGCTTTATGGAATAGGAACAAGGCTTGATGATCCCAAGGTTAAGCTTTGCTTCAAAACTGTGTTTAATATGCCCTTAACATAATGATTGCTTTTGTTTAATAACTGCTATTGCAGAGCAAGGTTCACATGTGCAGTGAGAGTGTATGATGTTACGTTCTGCATGTCCAACATAGATTGTCATAATAAAATGGCTTGTTGCTATGTGTTCAGCTGTTATCCAGTGTGGCTGACTGTAAATTGCACATAATAAAATTATTATTACTAAGTGCACATAAATGGAGACACATCTCTGCAGCTTAAATAATACATATCCCATATTGTTATATAATAGCAAACCCAACAGAAACATGATAAACGTTTAAAAGTAAATGCAAGTACCAAGCTTCCCCCCTATGCGGCTCACTGTTTTAATTTAGCCTTGTTAATAGAGGTTTGACTTCTGTACTGTCTGGGCAATGTTCCACCCAGCAGTGTGGACCCTCACTAAAAAGAGTATATTTACTGTAAACTCCAACAAAGAACCCCCAAACACTTCATCTAAAACTGTAAATATCAGATCCCAAATGCCAAGAGAGATACAGATACCAGCTGCACGCCATACAGTCATACAACCAAAGTAAATACTGTGGTGCTCAGAGTGACAACCGCAGATGGAGCCGTGTGGATCCACAGAAGAATAGAAGAAAAGTCACCAGCACTCAGTCCTTCATGGTGCAAATATAACCTAATTTAATATAAAAGCGTCACATAGGTCATAAAACAATGACCTATGGGGTGCTTTTATAATAAATGTGAGTAAGGACGGAGTGCTGGTGACTTTTCTTATATTGTTCTGCAGATCACTAATGCATTTCCCCCATTGCACTCCCTGGCCTGCACAGCACCAAAAGGTTTGTTAATCAGAAATTAAGCCAGGTGCCTCTGCAACAGTCTGCATGTGCTGGTCCATAGGGATAAATTAAATGACTATTTATTTGATAATGCTGCATGGGGCAATGAGGGTAAACTCTGCATTTGAGGCCTGTAATGGTA